GCCCACGGCTTTCTTAACCCCTTAGTTGCCTCCCATAGCGCATGGCAATTCTCAGGAATTCACTCTTTCATGCATGTTTACGTGTTACACGTGTGTATTTTAACTATAAGCCTCCTGAAAGATAATAAACACAAGGCATTATACTTGATCTCCTTCATTCCAAAAAATGCATGCAGTCAGCTAATAAAACAACTTCAATATATACAGCCTAACTTCAACCAAAAAAAAAAAAATCCCAACTGCTCTTTATAAGACTAACTTCCTGCACCCAGTCACCAAATCGCAAGTCAGTGACACAGCTTAGCTTTCAGGATATCTCTGCCAGATTTGATAACATACAAATATAAAAAGATGCCTCAATTACTAAGCTTGTAAATAAAACCCTCCATACAGATCACTTACAAAGTGAAAGCCTACAACTAACATTTATATTATTACGCAAATTAATAGATATTAATATATCCCTATAGGTTAAGGCAGAAATGGGAAATTAAGACCAACCTGGAAATTTAACAGAAGCATTACCCTCTAAGAGTTAATTGGATAGCACTAGGATAGAAAATATAAAAATAATCAACCCAGAAAAGATTTCACTTTCTGTTTCTGAAACGTTAACTGAAAAACAGAGAACCGGATGGAGGGATTCTATGTATTGTAGAGACACTTGTCCAGGAAGTCACTAGCTAAGATTTTTCCTATATAAACTTTTTATATATAGTTTATATATATATATATATAAACTTTTTTCTTTCAAAACAGAAGTATAAGACAAAACAAAATAATTTTATATTTTTATTTATATATGTTCTTCTTTCTTTAAAGAAAGAACACATATGACACTGCTCAGACTGTCACAGAAGGCAAGGCACTGCCTCCAAGCAGTTTCATGGTTCATTAGATGCTTCCACCCCTCATAGTTGCAGGGGAGTAACCAAACTTGACCACAACAGCAATAATGCAGTTCTGTGATCTGCAAATAACAGCAAAACTAAAATACTGCAATGTTCTTCTGTACTAAAACTAAAAATCAGTCACAGGCAGGGCTGATGCTGACTTACTCCATTAAAAAAAGCCCTGTCCTCGCTGTAAGTCTTTTCCCACAGAAGCAGTTCACAGGTACAAGCCGACTGGAGCTGACACCCCTGGGGTTTTGGGGCAGGGAGAAGTCTGCAGTGCTGGCAGCAGCCAGCACCAGACCGATCACAAGTTATAGTATGTTAACTGTGCACTAAAGCTAAGGAACCGCAGCAAGCAAAAGCACTACTGACACACTTGGCAGTTCTTTCAAAACCAGGGTGAAGAGCCGCAGGTTACAGCTGCTTCTGACAGAAAAACACTGCGAAGTTCCGGGCCGAGAGGCACCCGAGCAGCAGACGCCCACAGAACAGATTTTCTGCCTCTCCTCCCAGCTCCACAGCGCTAATTCAAGCAGCTCGGGGCGCTGAGGAAAGGCCGATCCACGACCGAACTGCGGCCGCTTTCCGGGAGCAACCCCGCGGCGGCACCGGGGCAGAG